GAATTTGGCGTCATAATTTCTAAAGCTATGTAAAGGAAATAAAAACATCAAGAAAGCTGATATATCTGTCCAAAGTTTAAGAAGCAATTATCATGCTTGTTCTCAATTTATTTTTGTCGAAATTTGCGTTTGCACAACATCACCTACAATCTATCTGATCCCAACGTTTTTGTTTTATGCATTGAAGGAAGCCAAACACGCGCCTTAAATGAATAGTTTAAGGAGAAAATCAGTTTTTCAAACCGAAAAAAGATAAGCATGCAATATTTGTAGGCGCTTCTAAACTGGTTTTTTAATTTCGAAGAATACAAACGCGGGTTTTATTAGATGCTGAACCACGTAGTTCATCAGTTATGCTATTCAATCGTTTAAAGTGGATACCATTTTATGACTCTACTAAGATGGCTAAATGTTCAATACTATTTAAAAGGATTAATTATTGTGTACCTAATTATCTTAATGATAGCTTAAGATTATTAAGTTCAGTACATTCACGCAACACTAGATTTTGTAAATACAACTTTTTATTACCTAAGTTTAAAAGGGCTAGAGAAGGAGGGAAAACTTTTCTAGTTTCTGCCATAAAATTATGGAATCAGTTAAAGCCTGAATTAAAAAAGTCTAATACACTTAAGGCCTTTAAAGACAACGTATTTAAATATTACTATAAGGACCAATCATGCTTAGCTCATTTTAATCCGTAAATTTTATTGATAGTAGTTTTATATATTCTTACTTGTTTTAGCTAATTTTCTATTTATATTTCATTCTATTAATGATTCTATTGTATTTATATATTTATTGTAATTAGGAGGACCACAAGTTTATTAGTGTTTGTGCACTATCACGTGCTATCCTCAATAAATAAAGTCTTCTTCTTCTTCTTCTTCGTTTGAAACGCGTCCAAAATAAAGATGGGGGACATCTGTTTTCTTTATATGTTATAGTTTTAAGGACTCTCCATGCTTTGTATAACTTGACAACACCTCTCAAATTGAAAGCAAGCCTCTTTTTAGTTGTTTTTCGATCGTTAAGGGAAGAAGCTGAATACAGGAATGGCTTTATTAATCTATCTAAAAAGATGTTTCGTCGACCTTTTTTTAATTATTTACATGTTTTAAATTATTGCTTGACGTGTGCACTTAATTAAAGGTAAATATTGACGCGCTCTCACATCGACTTACTCTTCAACTATTAAGTGGCAACAGACCGAAGGTGCTGGAAAACATATTCGGACACTTTCTGAGTAAGTCAATTATTATAAACATTGTTTAGCCTCCCCCAACATCTATCTTGTAGTCGTTTGGTAGAGTCAGAATTGTAAAATTAGTCACAAAAAATGGAACGACTTTTTTTTTTCCCTTTCTAATGTTTGAGTAGAAAGAAAACAAACCGGCGAACTCAGTCATTATATCCGAAATCAGATTTTGTATTTTTTTGAACCACTAACGCTTCAATCTGATTTTTAGTAATTAGCTGCAATTTTTCCTTATAATTTCACTGCCTATCAATGCCGATATTTACTTGAGAAAATCTCATCTCTTGTCACTGACCAGGCTTTGCATTCATAGTCTCTCAGATAGGGTGGCCAAGGCTTGTGTTAACGATAAACGTTAGAGGTTGCAAACTCATTTTACCCCAGAAAATAACTTTTCATTTCCTATCCATCAAAATTCAGCACCAGTCCCAGTTTTTTATACTCTAACCGTATCCATGCCCAAATTTTAACAAATAGTAATTTTCTAAGGACTTGGAAGATTTGACCAATATTTCTAATGGTGCTGATATGCATGTGATGAATATACTTAACTTATTTCACTCGTCTGAATAAGGGAGTTTGTTTTTGAAATTTGGAACTTCCCTTGAAAATTCTCGCTTTCATTTGAAAGTTTAGTAGTGATATGGTACAACCTAAAACAACCCCTCGGTATCTGATAAATAATTTATGGTCTTGTAGTATTGATTGGTTTTTTCGGAATATATTTGAATTTGAATCCGAAATGAAATTATGTGTTTAGGCAAGTGTTTCATACATAATCAAATTTCATTATGTTTCTGATTAGGAATTTTGTTGGTAAATTCTTTCATTTCTGAAAATAGTGACGCTTGCAACTCTCGGCACCGTTTAAGGATAAAATGTCGGTAATTCTATGTAAAGAAGTCCTCTTTTATTCCAAACATGTTGCCGTACAAATATTTACCGACTTATGTCATCAATAAGGCACCAGTTGTTACTCAAAATGGAAACAATATTAAAAAATTTTCAATGACCACATATTGGAGCATTCGAACCTTTTCTAACCACACACATCGGTCCTTTAATAATTACTTTATTTGGTGAATTTTTTTTCGAGGCGAACGAGGTTTGCTTAAGGTGTGAAATTAGAAAGGTAGGTGGCGGATGTCAAAAAGATTGTGTTTATGAAAAATATACTTGCCAATAATTGTTATTTTCGGGGCACAAGGTGGGATAATAAGCACGTTCTCAAGGCTATGGCGTTTTTCATTCTAACAATGCTTCGTCTATTGTCGTATTCTCGTAATTTTTGCAAAGTCAGAGGTTAAAAAAAATGACGGGATAATCTGAGTATCAATAAAAACTGGCAAACCTTGAGGGGAATCTGATCGGATGGTATGTTAAGAGAGGTTTTATCAAAAATTTAAATATCAAACGGAACATTTTTGATGTGGAATATGGATTTTCATTTTTGATATTCGAAGGCTTACACTTGATTTCTACGAGACAGCCATCTTTGCTGCCTTGGAATTTCCAAACTTTTTAAGGGGAAATCGATTATGGGAGCAACGTTTGACGACAACGATAGTCAATAACCAAAATTTAGCACAGGTAAACATCCCATCTAATGAGCAGAGTGCTAGCTGTAAACCGTTGCGTATTAATTTTGGGTATAACTTTGTATATCGGCTTTTTGAACCAAACATTTCTCGCACGTAACGGAAGAAGAATAAAAAAAGATGGTAATTTTTTTTTGTACTGTTACGCGTGCTAGCCAAAGAGAAATTTTTTCTCTGAAATTTCTCATTTTCTACATGTTTGAAGAAAATACTGCATCTCAGCATATATTCCAGGGTCTTCCATTCCTTTACCTTTTTTCCTAATGTCAATTATTGCTTTGAAGAGGATAAGGATGGAAAAGCTGACATATCATGCCATGGGGTTGGTAATTTCGCAATTCAAATAATTTCCTTATGACGTGATCCACCGCATGGCCTTTCTAATAGCAATACAGGCATCTCGTAAGAAACCAAATATCTTTGTTACCTTTGTCTTTTTAGTGAAAAAAAGGTGTCAATTGCTTTTGCCAAGCTACAGTATTGAAGTCGTTTAGGGTGTTTGATTTGGTTTGCCTTTTGTTAGTAGTCATAAAAAAAAACTGAATGTCTTTCATTTATGACTAAAATAAGTTGAAGCTGTTAATTACTTGTTCCTTCTGGTCAGCGAGTCGTTCATTTTGCGTCGTTTGATTTTGTGTTTCAATTTGATAGCTGCAGTAACTATCATGTCTAAGTCTTTATATTCAAGGTTCGGTTTAGCAACAGAAGGAATGTTCCATCGCAGTCTTTCATGAAAAGGGTTTGTGATGTGTTAAGAACTGCTCGCTTCAATCATATTAAGGTTAGGTATAGAATTTCAGCTTGATAGCTTCCTATATCAACTCTCGTTTCTGTTCTCCTGTTCGAGATAAGTTTTAGCGAAAAATTCCCTTCACTAATCTAAGGAGTTATGAAACATTCCTCAATTATAGTATCTTTGTCTTTAATATGTGAATTCAATTTGTCTTCCTAAGCCTTCTGATAATGAATGAAAGCTTTTTACTGTTTTGGTAAGAAATTTTTAACTTTTTTTACTATTTAGCTTTATTCGGTAATGAACTAACTGATGTCACAAAAAGGAGCCAGGATGTGCGTGGCTTTCTTGGTTTTTTTGTGTTTCATTCCCATCTTTGTGGATTCGTCGTCATCTGTGCAGGGATTTACGGAAACGCATTTTGAAGGCTTTGCAAGTAAATGAATCTGCATGGTACCTAAGTAGAAAATAATTCGTGATGTTATTTATCTCTTGCTTTTTTAAATATTATTTACTGTTGTTATTCACCGCCGATCTATAAAATTATGAAATTGTGTCACTGGGATATCATGCCTGAAGTAAAAATCCAACTTTTATTGGATTGGATGTCAAGCCACAGCTTGGAGAGAGGCCAGTTCAAGCCCAACCTTGTATCAGAGTGATTTTTGTGTTTTACTGCGTTGTTATGTCATTGGCTTCAACAACAAAATCTGCTATATTTTCACCGTGTGTACAGCACCCAAAAGAGAAACTACCAGCAGTGAGAATGCACAATGTGATGCTGAGAACTTTGCGCTCAAAACACCTTGCCCTGAGAGCAAAAACTCCATTTAACTACAAACTGAGTAACTAATTTGGGTTCATTTCATCTGATTTCATTTTGCAGACCATTACCTTCGAGGCCACATTGCGCAAACTCATCAAGTGTCTACATCACTTGACTGTGCCTTTTATTGTATGACCGACTCAAGGTGTCAATCTTACAACTACCATATGGAAGGGAAAACCAATCATACGTGTGACATAAACAGTAAAAATAAAACAGTAGACCCTGTGGCTCTTGTAAACAAAGCAGGATTCATTTACTTTCAACCATATGAGGTAATCGGCTCTTAGAAGCCCCTAGTTTTTTTTCGCGTTTAATTCTACAAATGGTAAAAGTAGAAAATATTGTGGCGAAAAGTTCACTCATTGCAATTTTACACTCAAGTGAAAGTGGCCCCTAGAGTTGTTCTCTCTCATAATTTATCCTTCACTTACGGCAAAAAAAAACTTTAAATTCTGAATACACTCACACGAGACATTCAACGTGAAAAGTTTATTTAGGATGATTCAGTCAGTTTTCTATCATTCGTATCCAGATACAATCATGCGCACACTGAAACAAGGAGTTCTACAAAAAGAATCTTTGCTACGCCAGATACGAAAAACCACTAAAAAACCACTCTTTGGATGTGGCCAAAAAATGTGTGGAAACGTATTCTTCATCTAATGCATCAGCACAAAATCCCGAAGAAAGGGTAAACTAACCTGGTTGCACTGCTAATCACAAAGAAAAATCAATGATTATAGTGATATTTTATAGGGAGTTGGAATACCAGAATTTCAACAAATACGAAAAAGAAAGTGGTCAAACATAAGACTGACCGACCTAGAAATACTTAATTTTCCCGCGAAACGCTAAAAATAATCCGAAACTTCCATGATGCCATGCGAACCTCTTCAACTCTTCAGAATATCAATTTCTGACTTATGTCACTACGTGCCCATGTCACTCAAACGTCAGAAATTACCTATATTTTGGAAAGGTTCCGTATGACTGGTGTAGAGCGCGTTGAGTGACAAAAACTGCAAAGGAGACGACCGTGTGAAATCAAAGCATTATGGGATATTTGTTCATTTTACACGCTGCTTAAAAAAATTACGATCTAAATTTTGAAATCCACATAATTATGATTTTGATAATAGCTATTTTTTTTTATTTACTTTACAGCCTCGTTCTCGTCGAGGTCCTGTCCAAGGTCAGCCATGTTTAAGACTTTTATTTCTTTAAAGACCTCAGTCCACAACTTTCTAGCGGAGTTATACCACATAGATCATTAACAGTCCGCGCACTTTTTTGTTGCTGAATAGGAACTTCTTTTAAAAAAAATCCCCATTGAGTTTTACCATCGGCTAAAATAAATCAGCTTTTATATAAACTCAAATTAAGCTGAGCCTAAAAGCATCTGAAAATGAAGAAAATGCGTTTTAACAAACTAATTCAAATTGAAAGTCACTCTGTTTAACAATACTCTTTCCAGGTCTCATTCTGTTTGATTTTTACCATTTTTCGTGGCCCTGTTAGGGGCATCGATCTGTGATCTGTTACTTAACGTTCACATAGAACTAGGGAATCCGTGTGTTAATGTTTTCACTTTTTGATCATGATGCAGATTTTACGGCTAATTTTACCAATCTTGGAGCCAGCGGTCGCCTCGGTCCTTCATCGATCGGTGATCTTTACAGGGGCCAGGGTCATGATGGTCGTGTGACACTTGTGGCGGGGATCCAACATTGGCGTTTACCGTGCACCACCCAGTACAAAATAGAAGCAGTTGGTGCCACAGGTGGCTACGATTCAGTAAACTCCGGAAAATATCGCGGTTTGGGAGCGCGCATGATCGGCACTTTTCAATTGACAACAGACGACACACTCAAAATCCTGGTTGGCCAAGAAGGGGGTATCAATATCTACACGTCTTCCGGAGGGGGAGGTGGTAGTTTCGTGGTACGTTCAGACAACACCCCCCTGATTATAGCCGGGGGAGGTGGAGGGAGGGAGTCACCGCAGTCCTCAAGAACTCAATGTCACGCCACCACAAACACATCCGGAAATCCAGGATATTCCAGTTCAGTCGTGTGGTCTGGAGGAAGTAACGGTAATGGAGCAAACACCGCTGATCATGTAAACTCAGGTATACTTGAGAGTCCATCAATAAGTTCAATCTAAAAATGATTTTTGAGGTGTCTTTTCTTTTGAGTAGCACCAGCCTAACATGAAGTTTATGACTATACAGATTTAATCTTCATAAAAAAGTAGGCTATTTCTGCGACACAAGTGCCATGAGGTATTATTATCCTACCTTTGCTAAATGACGTGGCCGAGAGCATGGTGCAATCACATTCTTAATTTATTCAAATCCTGACCATGCCTTCCTTGTAAGGCAGGATAATTATCTGATAATCATGCCAAGTGTCAACAAGAGAGGCGGACATAGTCTGAACTGCAGGCGTCTGATTAGGGCGAGTTAAACAACTCACGATTGTTCATTCGACCAGCCATGTTTGATTTAGAGTAGGAGTCGGGGGAGGGGGCGGGGAAAGGCGAGAAGTAATATTCATTGCCCTAACCCCTTCCCTCGCCTTCCATTCATCTGTCGCTCACCCCCTCGGTAAAAATTTTATTTCTCTCCCTAGCCTTCAAAATTACGCCTGCTCTGTAGACTAAAGCAAACATAGTGTAGTAGGCTGATGATCTTTATCATTTTCAATGTGTAATACAACCACAACATAATATAACGAAAAAACGTGAACTTTGTTGTTAATTACGAGGTTTCTCAATTCTTTCCCCAGGGGGAGGAGGTGGAGGATTTTTGACCAGCGGCCGAAGCTCAGTTAACTTTGGTGGAAGCTACGGAAATGGTGGAGAGGGTGGTAAAGGATTCCTTCAGGGTGGAGAGGGAGGTCGAGCATTGAGAAACAATGCCCATGGGGGGTTTGGTGGGGGAGGAGGAGCGTACGGAGATGGAGGAGGTGCTGGAGGCGGAGGCGGCTACTCAGGGGGCGCTAGTGGGGACAATGTCGTAGATTCCTGTGGGGGTGGAGGTGGCTCATACAACTCTGGTGATGAGCAAAGCAACGATTGCTGCTTTAACGACAAGGGACACGGATTTGTGTTTGTCACGTGGTCTTGCTAAGGGAGCTTTTAAGCATGTTTCCTCACAGGGTAGTGGTCACCAAGCGTTGAGGAAACCTTGAGCGAATTTTTTCCAGCTTTATAGTGAGAGAATACACTCAAAAAAGTAATAAAACACTTTTTGAACGAGTTTTCTTTTTAAAGGCTATTCCGTAAAAATTTATTCAGGAAATTTGTAAAATTGTAGATTTCTATCCCAGCCTATCAGCTCTTTTAAAAATCATTTCAAATAAACTAATGATGGAAACGTGAGTTTCAACTTTCACTCGGCTAATTTCAATAACTTGTGGTAAAACCCTCGTCATTCAAACCGCACTCACTGTGGTGGTCACATCTATCTGAATGTAATGTAGCTTGCTATAGAGGAAGTTGTCGATATTCTATCAGGTTACATACCACATCATTCCTTCTGATGAGATCACTGTTGCTATGCAAACGGTTCGATTGATATGTATTCACTAACGAGCCAATAACTGGCAAGTACAAGCTGTTAGCTGTAAAAGAGATAAGTTTTGTCTCTTAACCCTTTTACTTCCACTAGTAATTCTCCTTACCGTCTGCCATACAGTTACTATAATATTAGTTAAGAGAATTTGGGGTCAGAGCAACTTACAATCTTCTAATTGATATTTTCCTCTTTTTTCATCACTTACCTGTTCAATATTGAATTGATATTGTAAGGAGATATTCCGTGCTGGTCACTCACGAGAGTCATGAGACCAGCACAGAGGGGTTAATCGAGGACAAAAATGGCGAATAAGCATTCAACGTGTTGGAAAATTCCATACGATCGACGGCGATTTGATCGTTTCCCGACCATCCTAGTAACTGCCGATATATCAGGAGCTCGACAGATGTCTTTCGGTTAGGGCTAAGTTCATGAACAGAAAACAATCTTCTTCATGCATATTCCTGTGGCCTGCATTGCCAAATAAGCTGGACAACAACAAATTAATACTTGTTGAGTTAACGTAAGTATTACATGTCATCATTTGGCGCTCTCAGTCCACCATATTTCAGAAAAAGACTCTATCTTCAGTGCTTAGTTAAGGGCGTAACGCACATTTTTCGGTAAGTAAATAAAAGAGCAAAATATTAATCAAGCACCAAGGGTCGCCTTCGCTAAAGAGGTCTGGGGAGATTCGTATGTAGACGCCACACACTTAGTTTGGCAGTCACGTACAGATTAAACAACAACAACAAACTATAAAGACTTTATCTGCAGGGCAGAGCACTAGTCTCACATACGGTAACGGCACGGCCAAGCTGCGCAATCAGTCACGTTCATTTTGTAGATTCAAAAGTTCTCCACAAAGATATAACACCGGTACGCGCGTCATAGTCAGGCTAAAAATTCTATGGAGCCAAATTAACAGTTAGATTTTCTAAGAGTTCGAGATTTCCATCGCATTATCGTTCCCGCGCCCCTTGTAAGTATGAGGGTAGATTTTCTCATTCGTTTTGTTTTTCATTTTACTTTTCCTGAACTGCATTTTTACCTCAATGAAACTTAAATTTTCTAGCAAGCCATCAAGGCTCAATAACTATTTGCAGACTCTATAGAAACAAAGTGCAGGGGTGCAGAACATGTTCCAGAGTTGCATTGGTTTTATTTTACTTCGCTCTCGGAATGATTCAGAAAACTCGTGTCAGTCACTTAACCAATCAGACTCAAAAACAGAACCCACAGAGATTTGATCATTCTCCCTTTCCTATGCTTTATCTCTCTAGAGAAGAGAATGAACAATCACATCTTGGGAGGCCCGCTACATGAATTAACTTCGATTTTCTATTGGCTTCTTGGTTGTTCACCGAGATTAGTTTCATTGTGGTTTTAAGTATCTATGTTAAAGAGTTTTCAAGGACAGTTCGTCGCAAGTGTGCAAGCTGTTCTGATCGTTCCTCGATTAACGCTTAGGTAAGATATAGAATTATCCTGGTAAAACATATACCAGATGCACTCACGTCCTGGTCACTAACCCTGTCGATCCGGTATTTTTACTTGTCTTATAAAAAAAATTAAAGGTCGTTTTCGCTTTAGATAAAATGTTCACAAGATTTTGTCACTCCATCGAGCCACCTTCAATTGCTACTTCTGTTCATAACTTTTTCGTCGTTCCTCTGAAAAAAAAGAACAAGTGCATGAACTGAATATTTAATTGGAGGGGAAAGAAAAAAATCGAAGAAAAAGAAAGACTTCGTGAGCTGGTCCCTTTGCGGGCAAAAACGGTTCCACTAATAGGTAAAAGTTCGTTGTTTAGGCGAAGCTTAAAAAAAGGGCTTATAAAACAAAGTTTGGATCGTTCGGAGCAGCCATTTTGTTGATCCCTATTTTTGCTCTGTTTTTTTTTAGTGTAATACCGTGGCATATTTTGCGCGTTCCAGCGCCCAAATATGGCAAGATGTAAACGTTTTTGCTCATTTACGGCTGAAGGTATCGGTATGATATTCTAGATGGGCTAGATTTATGGCATGGTTTGCTTTCGTCCGAGAAAACCACATTTTCTTTGACCATTTAAGGTCGCTGGTAGACTTAAACAAAATGGAATGTTGTTTTTCTTTCAGTTCTCGAAGCTCAGCGAAATGGTATCCAACAAAGCCGCGAGTTTCCTCAAAGTGATAATGATTTCATTTATGTATTTGCAAGGTAAAAGAAGATTGTGATAAAAATGATTGCACAGGATAGAGGGACTCAGAAGAATTTTAACAATAGACAAACCGTTTGTCTACTGTTGTCCGCTTTGATTTGGGACAAAACGGACAAAAACAAATGTGTAAAAATTTTGGTATATATTAACCCCCTACCCTCCCTAAATTAGGCAAGAACGGGCTGGTAGATGGCCTGCTTCTAATGGTAAACTAACAGGACCGTACTTGAATAAGCTTTGTGTCTCGAGTTTTCCTTTATCCTAATTTTGTTTCCTTTTACAGATTTCTATGAACGTCTCAATATTCTTTCGCTTCTTTGCGAGACAGCGGTTTTTTCCCATGTTTTCCTAGAAATATTGCGCGAGATATTGGCGCGCAGGCCTTTGATGCCCTGGCGTGTACTCTACGCCTGACCGCTATGCTGTTGTAAACGGAGTTAAGTGTTGCAATGGCGAATTTATTTGACGGTTGTTGTGTGAATTGCGTTCTAAATCACAGGAATTGTTAATTAATCTAGTGATTGGACAAAACTCTTTTTCTTTTTTTATTCAGACCATTGTTTTTTCGCTCAAGTTTACACGTTAATTTGATACATTATTCTGTGTGTGTAACCGTCGGGGAGCGCGGAATAAAGTTTCTGAGTTGTACAGCGTGGTAAAAATAAATAATAAGTTATATACAAATTAATGCATCTTAGTATAGGATGTAAATTCATTTTAAAGCTGTCATAAATTGTAGGCTCACACTTATCATAGCAAGAAAGTGGTAGCATTTTAAGATACTCCTAATATTTCTCATCTCCCCATCTGAATAACGTTCGGAATAAGATATTTGCTACAGGTTATCTAGGGTTAGAATTGAAAACTGCTAGATCACAGAATTGGTTCTTAGTTCCCTTAATTCTTCAAGTTTCTTTTTCACTTGAAGAGTTGACACGTTCATTTCTTGGAAATATTCCGTCGTTTGATGCATGTCTTCCTTCAGTTTGACTAATTCACTCTCTATAACGTAGATGACATCGAGACTGTTATGAGTTGGAGAGGTACTGTCTTCGGACTTTTTCGTGGCTTTTCCGTGACTGTTCGGTGGTAAGTCGTCGTGGCTAGGTGGAACTCGTGACCGTCTCGTATCAATTACATCCTCGGAAACAACTTTATCATTTGCCGAAGATGAAATCCCATCTCTTTCTTTTCGACTTGGAAATGGTAAATTCGTTATCGAAGTTTTCACTTGAGCATTGTTTTCAAATGGAACGCCACTTCTCAGGGAGAAATTCGTCGCTGAATAATTTTGACTTTTGACGACATTGTGTGAAATACCGCCGCCATCTGTTAGTGGTGGTCGTGGCGGTTTTATCGCGGTTTGTTGAGGACCTTGCGAGTTTTTTCGCGGTATGAAAGCCGTCTTTCTTTCCCTTCTCGTTTTCAAATCTTTACCAGATATTTCTTGTTCAGATTCGCTATTACTAGAATCCGATTTCAGTTTTGTGTTGGTCGCCAACGCGAAGGCTAACCTCTGCCTCAGTAGCTTCGCTGCTTTCCCCTGATCCGTTAGAGATATTTTCCGTTCCCTTCCCTTTCCATCGTTTTCTGCTTCCGTATTCGATGATTCACTGTCTCGATCACCGCCAACTCGTCGCGGAATTCTACTTGAACTTTGCATTCTTAATTAAACCTTTCCACTTCGCGTGAGGATTAAAACATAAACATGATCTGTTTTTGATTTGAGTTTTTTTTAGAATCATTAATTAACACCGCACCACGCATATGCATTAATTCACATCTCAATCAACCGCTCGATTTTACGGACACGAGTCACCTAAAAAGGCCGGATAAACTTAAGCGTAGATAGACACAACAATGACATATAACAATACTCAGTGGAGTAAAATACAAATGATAGCCTTGTGCCCTTAGAGCATATGCGCGTGTCATTTCAACGCTGAAATGTAAGAAGACAAAACATATCGACATTTGACGTACTAAATATGATCCATATATTGATCTTCCTGTTCTTGCATCGCGTGATTCTTTCTCATTTGCATATTGTAATTCTTTAATTCTTTAATGTTAAAGTTTAGCATAATTTATGAACCACAAATTGTGGCAGGCTTCTGTGGCCAAACTTGCGTTCAGGTCGATTGAGGGCTCGCTTTAACGTGGAATGCACAGGAAATTGAAGAGCAAGAAACCATTCTCTCTTCATTTTATTTTGAGTTTTTTAACTTGATGATTCGTTCCCAGTCCTCAGCTTTGTTAGTCCTGTCACTGATCTTATCGCTTTCAAGTTTCATAAACATTTCATTTTAGCGAACTCAAGTTTGTCAAAAACCCAATCAGTTACTTCAATTGCCCCTTTTCTAAAAGTTTTCTTCTCGCTGTAATTTATTATTTTAGGCGTAGAATCAACTGATCGCTATATTTCTGTCAATAACATTAATCCAGAAGTGTTCGAAACATCGATCAAAAAAAATTCCATTTGTTTTGTAAATTTTGTTCATAATTCTCGATGGTTTTATGCTGAAGACTGTGTTTTTCAAAATAGGAGTTTTTCTACTTTGCAGAGGCCTATTATTCAGGTTATCTGAGGGTATCTTGGCAAAGATCATGCTGACAAAGCTTTGTTTCTGACACTATGTAACAAATATATTTTGAAAGAAGTTATTGACACATAGTTACACATTGTAAAGTTTTGTGTCATGCAATCTTTTCCGGAGTATTTCTTGAGATCAGGAATGTCAGTTGGGTCTGACGCTTATCAATTGAATACCTGTCCAAATTCGACTAGATTCCACTCGTGATTTTGGAAAATTGAACAATCTTTATGATCTCTGATCACGCGATGAAGTTTTGCAAACGGACACCAATCACGAATTTTCAAACAACCGTGTTTGATTTTTAGGAGAAAGTGTTTGGATTTGCGAACGAGGCAAGCGCAGTACAACTAACTGAGATGGCTCTCGCCAGAGTTAATAGACTGTGGCTCGATAAAGTTGTCGATAAATCGAAGCAAGTTCAGTGGTGAGTATTACGCGTTTTACATATTGGATTAATTTGTAAACCATTCAAAGTTCGTGGAAGCCATTGAAAATTAGGACGGCATGGCGCTTTCGCTTTTGTCAACTTTAACAGCTTTCTGATCAGACATTTACTTTTGGATTTTGTAGGATTTACGACGTAATCTTCAGCCCCAATGGATCATATATCCTTGCTGCTGCTGGAAACTTAATCTTGGTAATTCATGTTGTTACAAACGAATCAGATGATTTCTTTTTAAGCCGTCTTCTTATGTTTTGTTTACAAACGAGAATGGTTTGTTTGGCGAAGTGTTGCCATTTGTCAACTGCATGTCATGACTAAACTAAATGGTTTCAAACGGCTCTCACGACATCTTTCACCACGAGTTTGAAATACAGTGTGATTATAGCCTAAATGTTTTTAATTATTCCTTGAACTAAGGGCCGGTATGTTGAGGCTCTTTTACAGAAAATGTTCAAAAGTACACAGAATTATCAAAAGGAAAAATTTTGTTATAGGGCGATATGACTTACGTTAACTTGGATTATGCAATTTTCGGTTGTGGGTTACCTCAAATCCAGCAAACAAGATTTAAAATGAAATGGTAGGTTCAAATAACACGCACTTTATTGTCCACAAGTATAAATTGCTTTAAGGGGGTAAAGGTTAATCTTTCAAGCTATTATTTCACGTTCCTGAGGTATGTGTGTTCATTTAGGGACTCAGGCATTTATCCGGTTTTCTTTCTTATTCTTTTTCGATCTTGATGCGATTACGAGCAAAATTTGGACAAAGTTGGTGCATCCGATGAAAAAAAAACATCAACAAATCAGGCTCGACTTGATTTTTTGAAATGCTAGCATAGAAGACTAATTTATGAAAAATGAGTCAAAACCGATCGTCTTTTTTTTTTTTTTCATTTAGTCACCTTATTCCTGGCTAAAAACATGCCGCGCTTTGAACCAAGCTCCGGAAATATCTATCGCAGGAAAAACAAATATTTATTAAGGATATATTTCCCATAATGCGCTGATCTAATGGACATTACAAGCTGTCCATGGCTCCGATCGCTTTCATTTCAACCGAACGTCTTTCTCGGTACAGGTCGAATTGGAACGTTTGATCTTCACGTTCGGAGGAATTTATCGCCAAAAACGTTTCCATGGCAGCAACGTTTTTTTGCCTTCGGCCTTCGGAGCAGGGTCAATCAGAACCGGAAATTCTTTTGAAATTTTTTGCACTCGATGCTCCTTGGAGTAATAAGTTGATTGCATTTCACACATTTACACATTATGGTAATAGTTGTTTCTTCCATTCAGTAATATCACAAATTTCACTCACACTTCACTAATTATTCATGAAATTGAGCGCGACCGTTTTTTCTGTTTGTTTGTTTTTATTTTGCTTTGTATTGTCTTTTTTTTAAGTAATCATCTCTTTATTGGCTTCATTCGAGACATGCGCATGTCACAATAAAAGAAGACCGAAACGTTCAGAGAGAGAGAGAGAGACACTCAGCCACTAGATAGCGACCAAAAACCGATGATTAATTTATTCTCATTATAGATTTACCGAAGAATTTGATGATTTAAGGAGATTTTACTTATCAGTCACTTGTAGGAGTTTAACGCTTTATTCGCAGTTGATTTTATTCGAAAAGGAACAATTGTTATTGATCACCTGGGGGGAGGGGGTGGGGTCGTAGGATTTTGGGGGAGATCACATGGTTTTTAGGGGTTACGAAGTGGGGATCAGTCAGCGCTATAGGGTTATGAAAATTGACTGCCAATGAGGGGGGAGGGGGTCATTAATATACTACACTACTACTACCACAAAATTTATCCTATCCCCCCATAAGGCTGTGTAACAATCTTAAGATCTCCCTCTACATTGGCGGTTCATTGGTATGACATTCAGTTCTCTATGGTCCCCCCTTAATACGAGGTGATAACTAATGACTGATGTCTCATGTTTGGAACTGTCGACCACACAGAACATCAATTGTAAGTTTTTGAGTCATGAACAATGAATGAGAAATTTTCAAGGGTGCGTGATTTATAGACCCCTTCACTTTCATCACCTCGGTAATCTGTTTTACCTCTCGACTGTTTTAACTTCAAATCTCATTATCTCGCCTTAAGCGCAAAAACTGGACTAATGCCTGCATCCTTTCTATTTTTAGGTTTACGATACAGCCGAGGGCGTGTTGCTTGATATGTTAAAAGGACACAGAGATACAGTGTATTGCCTGGCCTACGAAAGTTCTGGTAAGATATATCCACAAATGTCTCTGACTGACTGATTCAGTTCTAAACTGACGGGGACGGGGGTTGGCATGGTTGGAGGTTCTCCAAATCCACGCCTGTCTGTCTGTAGACTTAACCTTTAAAATCCATACTAATCCATTCAAAATACCTGATCTTCAAGTATACAGAACAGGCGAGATTTTCTTAAATTCTCGCGCATGTGCTTTTCGAGCGAGCGTGAAACACAAGTCACGCACGAGAGGATCCACTTTTCGCACTCGCATCGCGCTTGCATTCGCTCGACTTAAAAAAAAGTGGGAAATAGCGTTTCTTTTGCAGGCTACGATAAATGAGATAAAAATTACAGATAGAAAGTGCTACACATCTCCGAAGCTTATTTCGGTTTCCATAGCATGAAGAAAGTAGGCGAATCGCATCCAGTTCCCACCGAATGGGACGTTTGTCCATCACTGGTTTCAACGAATTATTTGGCAGTTTCCGTGAGGGTTTATTAATATTCATTTATAAACTCCTGAGTGGGAAAATCCGGCCCGCTTACCACAAGACTACAGTTTTACGAGATGTTTTAAGAGTGGAGAATTCCATAATAAACCAAATTTTCTCGGCTAAATGGGATATTGTAATTACTACCATTTTTGATAGGTATTGGGATTCGCTGCGCGCGCTGCGGGCTCCGCTATAGTGTAATACGCAGTTTTGGAAAAAAGTTGATATGGACTTCATTTACTAACCATTCTCGATACAAGGGAATCATCTTCACCATCGAATTTGTCAATGGAATCCATACAATGAGCGCCGATCAATATCGGTAAAGTCCTGGCTTCTTAGTATGTTTCATTACTGTTTAACAACATAGCCAAGAAAGGAAACAGATGCTTACTTGCTAACAAAGTCATTTGAGTGAGTAAACTGGCAGCACAGAATCAACTTTTCCAATTCAATGATCAACCATGCAAACATATATTTTTCTCACTGACGAGGGGCTAAAGCTCAGAACGATAGCCCGTTAGAAACTCTCACGATGGTCAATTTACATTTTCAACTCAGTTTATAAAACTAAATTATCGCGGGGTACCCTTCACCACCACCCCCCCTCCCTCACCGACGCAGCACCACAGTTTCTCTTGAAACTTACTCCCTTCAGCCATCTATATAAACATACCGAGGACGTTGCCAGAAGCTCTCCGCTCGATCCCATACCACCCAAAGTTTTTATGTACAGCATTGAGGAAATCTTAGAACATGAAAGAAAGGTACTTACTTATTACAGGAGATACGGGATTGGTACGTAAGCCATTAAGCCCGACAAAACCTTGGCAGAATCTTCCATGAGGCTCTTCAGCATTACCATTTATCGGTCAGCAAGTCTACCTTGGAGTTGAAGGACATTTGCATGCTTCAGTTTATCAACAAATACCTGCTTAATATGAGCACGATACGAAAATCCATGACAAACAGTAGCCACTTGTTTCACTACAATAGTTACATCGACTATCAATATAGACGCAGTCTGCTGAAAATAACTAGTATTGACACTGTAGGAGGTTCTTCACCCCATAATGCGCTAGACTATAGAGTTAAGCTGCGTAAACCGAAACCCAAGTGCATGTATAATAACTGTCAAGGCGGGGAGTCTGTGAATTTCACCTTTACCGCCTGCAATGTTGTGTGCCCTTGCGTGCGCAGTAAGTGCAGTTTTCTTAGATTGAACCGATACTGTTTTTTCTCAT